TTATATATATATATAATATATTCTCATATATCTTATATATTTTCCCTCCACTGTCAGGAAATATATCTATATCCTTCTCATTAGGTAATGTAAAAAAACCTGCAAGTAGATGTAAAATAGTTAATTGAATTTAAATGGCATGACAGGCCTAAATACAAATAAGAATCAGGCAGTAACATTTTTTTACTACATGTACATTAATTTAATATGGGTACTAAATCCTCTACAGAGCTAGAGAAGTAGTGTTTTGAGTATTTTATGCCAAGAACTCATTGTTACACAGAATTAAAACATTCAGCCTTTGAACTATGCCTACCTGGCTTGCTATTTCTGAAGCTCTTTTCACTCGTCGTATTTCAGGGGTATATGGGCCAACTTGCATCCCTTTTCCTATAATTTCAGTCTCCAGATCCTTTTTATATTCTTTCTGAAGAAAAATGAAAAGAAAAAAACCCATAACTAATTCTGCAGTTATTTGTACATGCTGTCTTCAAAGCTGCTCTGATAGCATTGTCCAGACTTCAAAATAAATTCTTCACTTTCTTTAATTTTTTTTTTTATTTTATTGTGCACTGCTTATTCCTTTTAGCCCAAGTACATTTGAGAAGATTCTGTGTTTTTAACATCTCATTGTGCTTTACTTCCAAAGTAATCTTAAGAAATTCATTCTGTACTCACCTGGCTTACAATTTCAGAAGCTTTTTTGGCTCGTTGTATATCAGGCGTATCCATGCCCACCTCCATTCCCTTTCCTTTAATTTCATTCTCCAAGTCTTTCTTGTATTCTTTCTGAAAAGAATAGCATTGGAAACGCTCACATGTCTGACAGCCAAATTCTTTAAATGTTCCTACTTTAATCTGTGTGATTCCACTGAACAGCATGCTTCAAATACCAAATAAGTTTTTGGTACAACAGCATTAGTTTTATAGGATATATCTGCAAGACACTTATACTGTAGCAGCTGATCAGGTAAAAAATTCTTTTAGCAGACTGCTTACTTCAAATCTCAGTCTCTTTCACATCTACAGCTTAGGCAGCCGCAAACACAGACACACATAGATGAGACTTCTACTTCATATGTGCTTTGCAAGACTGGGGTTATAAGTCTTTAGCATCTTTATACTTCTGTTTATCATTTGGCCCTAACTAAACAAGCAGCTATATAAATCTAAAAGCAGTAGAGCCTACATCAACTGAACACAGCCCAGCCCAGGTGTGGTTCCTAACAAATAAGTGCCACCTGCAAATGACAGAAAGTCAAAGCTCTGGGAATTCTTAACTTTCCCTTGTACACTGATCATGCAACTGTTTGACTCTATGCAGCTCAACAGATTAGAACTTTGTGGTATTGCTACTGCCTAGATTGATGACCGCCTGTAATTCTCAATGGCAATAATTTGTTTCATTCTGTCAAATGGAAAGCTTGCACCAGGGATGGTACTGACCATGCTTGCAATTTCAGAAGCTTTCTTGGCTCGTCTTATCTCAGGAGTATCTGGACCAACTTGCATGCCTTTCCCTTTAATTTCAGTTTCCAGGTCCTTCTTGTATTGTTTCTGTGAAGACAAAACTTCATACATTATATTCACAATAGCTAGACAGTTTTGTAGATTTTGCACAGGAGATCCTATTTAAGATTTAGAATCAATCAAAAATCTCAGGTTGAGTCACGACTTTCAAGACTCTTGGCAAGCTTTTGTCAGAAAAACACTACAGGAGAAAACTAACAAACTACATGAGGAGAATGTACAAAACTCTACCACTGAATTTTTAATTTGGCAGAGGATGAGGGGAAATCAGTCCATACAGCCTGCTACAATTACCCTCCAAAATAAAGGGGAAGTTTAGCTCTGCAGAACACAGTGTAATAAGCTGGTACTTGGTGCCAGCCTAATTGAAACACATTTCACTTTTAAGAAAATATTTTATTTATGGAAAGACTACATGTTAGAAACTTAATACTATACAGAACTCTTTCCAGTGAACTTTCAGAGTACGAAGTTGTAATTTAATAGGTCTTTACTGAACCACAGCCATTAGGCAAGTGGCAGTACTCGTCCATGATTGTTGCTTTTTCCCCATAACATAAATTATAAATAAACAATAACCAGGAAACAAAATTAATAATTCATCTTCAGCTTCTCCAAGCAAGGATATATTTCTTGTTCATCAGCAAATTATATTAAAATGTAATACTGAAATATTGTATACATGGTTGTGCTTTTTCTTTAAATAAAAAATTAAGATTCTCAGGCAGTGTTATTTCTGCTACTATAGTAGTAATCATTCTTTTCTATTATAGTTTATCTCTGCCTGTAGAAAACAGGTACTTTTTTCAAAACTAATACATATCATTCAAACATTTTCTTCTTACTTTTCCTGTTTGTTAAATACTTTTTAGGTTGTATATGAGAAGGAAGTAGGAAAATATTCTTCTATTCAATTAAACAGCCAGTTCACTTATAGCCTAAGTTAGAAGAATAAGACCAAAAAGACTTTCAGTCTTCCATCTCTGTCCCATTCTGATGCAGAAATAAATGTGATAAAACAACTCTCTTCTTCCCAAACACAATTTTTTGCAAAAGTCTAAGTTATTCTGTGAGAGGACATCATCTCTCTCTTCCTCTCTGCTAAAGGTGGAATGGGAGACATTTCCTCCTATCTTCTTACTATGTAAAACAAGGAAAAGATAATGCTTGGAGTTACAGCAATGTATTCCTGCACTTGTTTACAGCGGTAAGGTTGACACTGTGCATGGCATTCCCTCTGGTTCTTATGGCTATGTATGTATGTGTGCAAATAAACATATATATACATAAACACACATATTAAATGAATATATAAACATATAAAATGAATACATCTACTACTCTGAAAGAACAACTCTCCGAAGGTATTAAGTGCACATGAGCTTTGCCTTTCCTCTTCCCTCCCCACACCCTCCAGCCCCATGGTTCCTCCCAGGCAGCTTGTGCAAGCTTATCCACAGGAGCTGCAGCCATGCCAGCGTCAGAGCCTGCAGCTCTGCTGAGCATGAGTTCCTCAGAGTGGTCTTCAAGAGACAGTACACAGACCAAGGAGTCTTCCACTCCCAGCCCTGCACAACAGGAGTAGATCACACCCTTATGTGCTTCCACATAATCTCCAGAGCAACTTAGACCAACACAGTTAATACCAAAGTTCATTTCTAAAAATATAATCTGGAAGGAGATTAATCTGAAATTAGGAGTAATCTGAAAATCTGAAATATTTGTCAGAAATTGGTTTTTTTCCAGAGCTTTTCTGTATTCTTAAAGCAAAACAGAAATAGCCTTAGCATCAATACTTACATATTTCATTGTAGATTATGTTTAAAAAATGAAACATTTTCAGTAAAATATAACTTTAAGAGGAAACTTTCTCTGACATCAATAACCTTGACTAGCATAACATACCTCATTTAGTATCTGAGCCGCATTTTTCACTCTAATCAAATCTGGTGTATCTTCAAACACTGTCATTCCTTTTCCTTTCATCCCTTCTTCCAGATCTTTTCTATATTCTTTCTAAGGATTTAAAAACAAGAGAGATTTCTCCACTTAATATTGTGTGCAAGATCTTGAAAAGAAATGCCACATTAAATGTCTGAAGGGTCTCTTTGAAATTTCTATGAAATATGAATTAGCTGAAGTACAGGTTTCAGAGTTAAAATAGAATTGGAAATTATCAAAAGGTAAAATGTTGAAAAAGTGAGAAGATTTTAATGCAGTCATGTATTTTCCTGTTGTGCTCTTGAAAAATAGTCCACCCCTATACAGCGCTAGCACATTGTTTAGGGGCCTCAGCTGCCTCTCTACAGACATTTTAACTGCAGTAGTGTTTGCTTTTACAGATCAATATATGTTCCTCTGTTCCACTAATGGCATTGCAATCAGAGTAGATGTCCTGAACACCATAGTAGGACCTGTTAAAATGACTGCTTGGTAAATTATAATGTAGAAGCAATAGTCCTACCATATTGCTTCTGTGCCCCTCAGACACTGCACTGATATGATCATCAATATTTAACAACTGCAGCCTTCAGAGCACTCAGATGTTCAGTATAAAATTAAAAGCACAGTAGAACGCACCCACTGATATTTGGTGCTTTTTCTTCCCAGTTCCTAGAGAACTGATGACATTAAAGTTTTGTAAGGATTTTAAATTGCTTTTCCCATCTCCAGGTTTGGAATAGGTTTTTTTAAGCAAGGAAACTAGAAAAAATTTAAAGAAAATACTTTTCAGAAAGATTTATATAGACATAAATTAACACTCCTAATCATGTATTTGATTTCATAAGCAGTAGTGAGCACCTTTATCTCTCTATAAGCTCTTTAATTAAACAGAAGGAAACCAGGTATTTTTAAACAACCTTCTATTTATCATCAGAAGCATGTCCTACAACAAGCAGGAAACAAGTTCTATTGATTGAGAATTATTAAATTCAGGTATCTTTTCTGAAGAAGTTGTGAATATGGTTCCAGAGAAGAAAGTTCTCATTGTTACAAAATGCAAAATATTTGCAGAATTCTCTACAGAAGGAAGGAAACCGAAAAAGCTGGAACACAGCTGACACTTTAAAAAAACAGTTATTGAACAAATAATTCATTTAATAACTCCAGGTTCTTCTTGGTTCATGCAGTATCTATCTAAAGTTTATTATGAACCTTCACACAAAAATACCAAGCTACATCCATGACTATGAAGAAATTTATCCTTTTGCTGAATCTTGAAAGATAATTAATTTGAACTAAGTAATCAAAGAATCATAGAATGGTTTGGGTTGGAAAGGACCTTAAAGATCATCAAGTTCCAACCCCCCTGCCATGGGCAGGGACACCTTCCACTAGACCAGGTTGCTCAAAGCCTCTTCCAGCCTGGCCTTGAACATTTCCAGGAAGGGGGCATCCACGACTTCTCACATCTCAATCTCCCCACTTTCAATTTAAACCCATTACCCCTTGTCCTGTCACTACAGGGCCTTGTAAAAAGTCCCCTCCCAGCTTCCTTGTAGGCCCCCTTCAGGTACTGGAAGGCTGCAGTAAGGTCTCCCTGGAGCCTCCTCTTCTCCAGGCTGAACAAGCCCAACTCTCTCAGCCTTTCATCATAGCAGAGGTGCTCCAGCCCTCTGAGCATCTTTGTGGCCTCCTCCTCAGTCCAACCAGTCTATATCCTTCTTATGTTGAGGGCTCCACAGCTGGATGCAGTACTTAGATTTTGGAATATGTTCCTTGAATGTGGGTATAAAATCATCTGAAATTCATGCAGCTGTGCATTAAAATAGCACTTCCACTTTCTCATATTCTCCCCATCTGGCTTATAAGCATGGTTAACTCCCTAAGTAATGAGTCATAAAAATTGAGGAGGTAAGAATTAGGGAACATCTTAGTACATGTTGCACTATGGAGGGAGATTATATCAAAATTTTCAAACTTGAACATTTACAGCACATCTGTGGCTGTGCATGCACTAACCATTCCTGCAGACATTAAGCATGCAGCAAGATTGGCTCAGTGAAATGAGTTAATGCATTTTTCCTTAGTCAGTAGGCGTACATGAGACATGTACGCACAGAATGGTACTGCACAAACAAGACCTTGTTTGAGACTTGTCTACCTGACAGCTAAGGTTGTCGGAATAAATTATTTATCAGAATATGAATAATAAAAAAATATCTGAAAAGCAAATCTTTCCTTTACCCACACAATTTGTTTAAAGCAGATTATATAATATCACAACTATACTATGGAATTTTAGTCATCTTTATTTTCATCCATAACATGTATGATAGATAATCATTTACATTTAATTAGTTAAAAGTGACGACACACAGTTCAATGCATCCACATAACACAACAGACTATCATAAACGTGAAACAGTCACTCAAAAGGAAAAACTGTCATCTGGACACCATCAGAAATCCTCCTTTCCACCCTTTCATCCAGCTGGAAAGCAAACTCCAGGCCCTCTCCAAAACCCTATCAAACAGATGTTTTTTGCAACATGCCTGGAAGGTCACCAAATCTGGGCTATTTGAATCCAGGGGAAGAACAAATTCCAAAACTGAGACCCTCAGAGAGAATATCCTGTCAACGATCCATTTTCTATGGAGTCATCTGATTTGTTCATTTAACTCTGTTTTTCTGGTTCAGGTGTGCTGAGCTTTATCATTTCCTTATATTCATAAGGAAACTTCAAAAAGTATTGATTAGTACTACAGGACTATTCAGAATATAAAATGACATGTCATAATTTCTACTTGTGCTTCATAACTTCACTCCTGCTTATAACTTTATAGTTAACTAGCAAGTTAACTGTAAGTTGTTCAGCACCCAGCAGCTTTTAGTCATGCTGCTTATTGTTCATTTATATCTTAACAACAACCACCAAAACAAGAGAAATAAAAATCCTCTACCTCTTTCAGAAAGTTAGTGACTTGTTTTATATGCAAAAACTCTGGAGTCTTGTCTAAATCCATTGAGGGTCTTCCCTTGATCCCTTCTTCAAAATCTTTGCGATACATTTTCTAATGAAGCAAAACCAACAATTACTGGTACATGCATGTATGTTTCCAAGAATATTTTAGAAAGAACACTGTAATCAGACCCAGAAATGAGCAACACTATAAATTATTTATCACATTAATAAACAACTTTATTACTCTTTTCATTATCTAGATTATCTAAACAAGACAGACACAAAAAATACATATAACTAAATACATATTTCCAAAGAGAATGTTTAAACTGATCTATGAAAGACACTATTTGGTAGGGAAAAGAGAGGACAAATGGCACACAAGGTAATGGTTTTAAACACATTTCTACCAAAAGGGTGGAATGATGTGTTTTCTATGACACACTGCAAAAATAATGGAAACTGTAGCAAAGGAAACACAGGGAAATTCTCTCAGGACAGATGGTGAAGCACTGGACTAGATTGTCTGGGAGATCACAAAACCTCCCAGGCATTGGAAGATTTTATTAAAAAGTTTAGAAAAATATGGCCTGATTTAGGATAGCCAGTGCTGTTCTGGAGCTCAGGAACAGTCCTTCCCCCTTGCTGAGCTCCCCAGCCTGAACAGGCAGCAGCACATTCCAGTTAAGGCATGGGGTCAGGCTGGGCTTTGCAGATTCAGTCACTCCCACCTGAGAACCCGCAGGATGGCATCCCTTCCCTCCAGAGTGTTGACCCCACCACACAGCTTGGTGTCATTGGCAAACTTGCTGAGGGTGCACTCAATCCCACCGTCCATGTCACTGATAAAGATGTTAAATAGCACCATAGATTGTCACCAGGTTCGTCAGGCATGAATAACAGAGAGAACTACTCAGTATTAATTCTACCATATCCTCAATTTATAAAACCTTTACAATCTGCTCCATATGTTTTCTTAACATGAGTACAAGATGTCTGTTACCTTCTCTGTTGATCTAAATTGCTAGTTCAAGCACAGTATTTTACTAACCTCACTTTGCATCTTTTGAGCCTCCTTTGAAACCTGATATATTGGTGTATCCACAAACTCCAGCATTGATCTGCCTTTACATTTTTCATAATTCTCTTTGTACTTGACCTATGAAAATGAACATAAATGCTGTTAACAGCCAAGAGAATGTGAGATCTGACTGCTTGCTATGGAGACAGGCCAATCCTCTCTTAGCCATACTCCTTAAGAATTTTTGACTTGGAAGATCCTCCCAAATTTAACCTGTTGGAGAAAGAGGGCAACTAGACAAGGAAATTTTTTCTGGAGTCGTTTATTCCTTAGCTTCAAAATCTCAGATGTAAAAATGGTGAAATTTGAAGACAGCATCAGTGAGGAGCATCAAGCACAATCCTTCAACCGACTGCATGATTTTCATTGAACTACCTATATCTGAACAGTTGGCAGCTTTTCATTAGGATCCCCTGTCATGTTTCCATTAAACAACACATTTACCATAACACCAAAATCTGCTTCACAGCCAGGCCCCACAGGTCTCTCTTTCAGGATCAGGAACACCATTCTGAAACACACTTTTGTTTGTACCTGTGGGAAGGAAAACTACTGTCTCGGTAGAGTCTGGTCTTGTACCAACATTCCCTTCACAGCTACCAATGGCCATGACGTTAAAGCTAGCAGCAAAATCACATTGAAGAACACAGGGTTAAGACACCAACATGCAACTTCTTGCTAATTCCTAAAGCAAATACACTTTCTTTGAAAACGTGTAGAAGCCTTCCAAACTCATTCATTCCCACTCTTCTGATTAAAACAGGCAAACACACTGTTTAGCTCACTTAATCTACCTGTGATATGGTGGAGTATTCTACACAAGCCATAAAGGAAAGCCAATAGCTACAAATCAAATATGATATTCAGAATCAATAATAATTTAATTTATTTGTCTCTTCAGAACTAGTAATGTCTGGATTTGAGAAAAGTATTAAAAACCTCCTTCCCTGTCAGGCTTCTGCACTGGGTTCAGATCCTGCAAAAACACTCTCCTCTTTCCTCATGGGGGGTCTCTGACTGAATATGCACAGTACACCATGGTAATTTGTTATGCAGATTTGTGTCTGATTTAATAACTGTTAGAATGCTGCATTTTTCTCCTTGCAAGATGTATTTATGATTGCATATACCTGACTTTGAAGCACAGCATTTTCTTTGTGATGGATTTGTTCAGCTGTATCTGGCGTGAAATGATAGAAGCCCTTGCTTTGCTTAAATGATTTCTTATATTCACACTGAAACAGAAAATATCCAAGAATGTTTTCAAAAACAAAAGTCAGGACGTTTGCAATTTAAATATGACTTAAATATGGGAGAAACAGCATAGAAGAAAGTATGTTTTAGGCCTCCCAACCTGGGAGTTCCACTACTAAACTTGAATTTAAAATATTGTAATGAAATGAGAAAAGAATAGAACAAAAAATAAATTTCAAAGTTCCTAGAGAAAATGCTTGTCCTGCTCATGCCAAAGTCAAATGGTTATGTTCACTAGATAATAACCATTATTATTTACATTAGAAATGCAAAGGAGCACATATGATGGTCTGGGTTTGCCTCCTAGTGGAAATAATTATAAATGTCACAGGACAAAAATCACTTCTATAGTGGAATCATACAGAAATTATCTCCATCTACAGATACTTACTTCATACTTTTACTCCACTCCTGAACTAATGGAACAAAATTTAAAAAAAAAAAAATTCTACAAAATCAAATTAGATAAATCTCACATTTTCCTACAGGCACCAGATTCCGCCTCCTAAGTCCTATTGTTCCATAAAATGAAACACATTTTTCAAAACAAAACAAAAAGATCAGTCTCTGTAAATCAGTTAACAGCACAGTGAGGAAGAATGTTTCCTACAGTGGAAGCAGACTTCAAGAAATATTTGGTATGCACTGTGGAGAGACAAGGAGAACACAAAGAAGGTATTGGAAAAGCATGGAGAAAAGCAGGAGAGTAAGCCATATTAAAATCAAAGAGACAACAGGGAGAGGTCAAATCTGAGAATGATTTTGAAAACGGGATTTCTCTAGACGACTTGTAGCTAGTCGAGACCTTAGGGATTGATGAAGCATCCTTCTTCCTGCTCACAGCAAGAAAAATATCCACCAGCATCTGGACAATGCAAAAATCAGAGTCTTGGTATTTATGCCCTCAGAAGAGGGCATAGATAATATAAATCAACCCTTCCTAGGCAATATAAAGAAATAAATTTTGCAAGAAGTGCAAAGAGCCTTAAGGGAAAGTCCAGGTTTCTTCTAATTAGAGATAAGATGACAAACTGGTGAAGTTCAAGTCTGAGGGTGTTCATTTAACCAGCAAAAAGAATGCCAATCTTACCTTACACTGAAGGAAACTAGAATTAGGCCAAAATGCACATGAAGATTGCAGGAAGTGAAAGCTACCAACTCATTTATCACCCATACAAAAAAGGATAGTCAGCTTCACATATCGGAGTGAGACAGACAAAAAGCAAACTTCAATTGACCAAAGAGCAACACAAAAATGAAGTAAAGTCTGGATTATTTTCGTTCTTTTAGACATTAGCTTCCATAAGCAGGCACTGACTCAGAAGATGACCCAACACACTACTAGTCATCAGGGCTAACCCTTTGTGTGTGAAGCACTCGCCTCCTGCACTCATCACCCACTCATGCCTTTCCACAGCACTGCTGCAGCCCTTCTGTGCTTTCTGAAGGAAAGACGACAAACACAGCTAACCAGCCTGCAAGCACCACAACAGAAGCTTCAGCACTGGACAGAAGCCAGTGTTTTTCTATCTCTTCCTCCCAGTTTCAACTTCCATCACAGTCCTCTGTCAGACCACCAGCTCCACCAAGGGGTATGTCTCGTCACATGGCGGAAAGGAGAATGTGCCTATTGCCTGATCCAGTGTGAGAAGCCTCAGACATTTAGAAAGGAAAAAAGGCTTAGAAAGCTCCAAGGGATGCTAGCACTCAAGAGGCTGTTTACAGCAGAAGTCCAAATACTAAACTAGCCTAATGGTCACTGTACAGAAACCTGCAGAGGAAAGCAACAAGTAAGATCTTTAGGCAAACCACGATTTGTAAGGAAAGAAGTATCTTAGATCAACAAAAGAAAAAAAAGACAAGGTTTCAGGCATGTAAGAAGAAACGCCTAAGTACCAGAAGTCATTGTGATTCTTACCCTGTATATTAGTTGTTCTAATAACCAAGATCTCTCCCTAAAAAGCCCTTTTTTTCTTCACTATATCCCCTAACTACTACTGTTACAACACCACAGCCTACTACAGACAAAACCATGAAGCAAATAGCAAAAAATTATGTATTCTACGGTGGCTATACATGCTATTTTTCAAATCATTCTTATAAAGGCAACTTACATCACTATGTGTTTTGCTGATATTTAAAGCATGGTTTAAATATAGGAGATTTGGTAGATCAGAGGCTGGATCATGTAGGCTTTCCAAATCTTTCTTGTAGTTCACCTGGAAAGAGAATTCAGGTTATGTAAAATAAAGATTAACAAAATAATTCACAGCTTCGTATTACAGTGTGGCCATCTGCAAACAGACAGCATTAAGTGTTTGCATGAACAACCTCTACCAGCCACTAGATGGTGGTCTTTTACTATTATTTGGAGGAAAGGAAAAATCGATAGAAGGATTCATTCTATTGAGCAAATATTTGGCAACTATTCAAACTTTTCCTCAAATAGGACACTTCAACAAAACCACACTTTGCATGACTTTTCACACCAGAAATGAACTATCATCTTTCCTCTTTTTTCTGCCTCGCACCCAGAAAATTAAATCAAGAGTATCTTCCTAAATATTTTGAGTTTACTCATTTTGAACACTGTTGATTCTTGTTCTTTTTTCTTGATTCAGGAATTACTCTAACTTTACAAATAAATAATTTGTATATAGAAAAGTTAAGGGGAAGTATTCCTGGATATTTTATTTAATACAGATTTCTTTCAGCAAAGATAAGCAATCTAGTCACCTAAGGCAAAAGTTAATCACTTAATGAAGTAGCAAAAGATAACTTCCTATCAGCCTATAATAGGATTTTCCACACTTCTGATAGCTGGGTGCCCATCTTTACAAGAGGAAGACTACACGCCTTACCTATCTTGGATGACAAATCTTTTAAACCAATCCCTTTAGTGACCTCCACATACGTATCATGTTCTTCACTTCAGACTTCAAATCATCAATACTCAATTTACATATCTCTTATAATAATTATCTCTTTAATTAATTTTTTAGGAAAAATTTAGATTTTGGAAATAATTACATATTCTATTGGACCCTTCCCAGAACCATCCTCTCGTGTGCCTGTTGGGTAGTGCTCCGCACTTTGGAAATGACAGACTACAGAATGAAGGGTTGACTCTGGGCTACCTGGGATCACAGCCTCAAAGAAGAGCTCACATTTTTAGCATTAGACACACTGGTAAATATATCATCCCAACAGCATTATCACTTGATAAAGATGTTTTCTCCATCCTGGCTCCAGCAGCAGGCACCCATTGCTGAATCTGGTAACTGCTGTACTTTGTAATGCCATTCAGAAGATCAACCAGCAGAATGAAGTCCAGAAGATAGACATCCAATTCCCAGCTATGCAACCCCCTTCTACAATCACTGGAGAGATGTCAGCACTTCACTCCTCTAAAGATAGGCATCTACAACAGGTCAGAAGAATTGCTCTCTATGCCTGTTTATTTCTTTCCTGAATACAAAGAAATATAAGGCAATTAGCTCAGAACAAGCAGCCATACCTTTTGACACAGAAAGTTAAGTGAGACGAATCTCATCAAAAATGGTTATGAAAACCTCTGCATGTCCTTGGAGAAGGGCTTTTTCAGAAGTAGAGAAAGAAATGGATAACATGCTCTACAGACACACCATATAGCAGGGACTACTGCTCAGAGTAATTCATAAGACAGAAAAAGAATATCTGCTTGAGAACAAATGTTAAGTTTCTCAGGATGTAAATGCATGTAAAATACAAATCAAGATCACTTACATCACTTGCCAAGGTGGATGCAATCTGTGCTTGCTTGAAGGAAGCACAGTCAAGAGGATTGTATTGGTGGCTCTTCATTTCCTTGTTGAACTGCTCTTTGTATCTCACCTTCCAACAGAACAAACATATCTAATATTAACATGCAGCACTTAAGGAAGGCACACAGCATTCAGACTACAAAGGAGCTTATTAAAGGCAATTTCTTTATCCATAAATCTTTAAACAATGAAGATGTTTAAGGAAGCTCAGTTTAGCCACACCCATGACTGTCTTGTGCTGGTTTCAAAGTAATTTTTATGTATCTGAATTTTACGAAAATTAAAAAAGTAATTTTAAGATTGTCATATGCGATTACTGGTGCTGAAGGATTTATAAAAAGAAACAGAAACAAAACCATATGACTCACAAGAGTAATCAAATAAACCAGAACTGACTAGCAATAATAATCTACTCATTGAGAATCATTCAATTGATAATTAACATCAAAAATGTTTTCATATGAAAAAATTTACAAGATCAATAAATAGTAAATCTTATAAAATAAATCACTCATAAATTTTTCAACCACTTGAAAGTGGGAGATCAGAACCAAACTTCCCACCTCCAGGTCCATGTGTCACCTGTGCTGTGCTGGGCTGTCACCAGAGCCCCCAGGTCTATTTTTAATTCTGCCAGAAACTTCCTAAGAGACCCCCCCAGGAATGCGCACCTCATTACAGTGTTAGAAAGCATAATTAAATTACTGTCTGCCACCACTTTCACGCGCTTATCTTCCTGTTCAAAAGAAGGGGAATGACAAGGCATATAAGAGGAAATGAGTAATACATAAATGTTGATGCAATGGCATTAAAAGTAAATAAATCTGAAAAATTCCATAAAACATGCTAAAGAACTGAATTCAGAATCTGCAAAAATTAAATCGAACAAATAGTAAATCTCCCTCCTTTGCCCCCCTTGTTGTGCATAATCATCAAACATCTGGAGACTTTGCAGACATGCCTTGCAGCTGGGCATAATGGAGGAGAATAAAGTTCAGTCTGAATTATGCTGCTTTCATGAATATCAGTCAGACACCTGATATCTGAGCCTATGCAACATCCATTATAATTTACCATGCTCTGCATTAAATAAATACGCAGCTTTTGCCTTACTCCTTTTTTCTCTATTCCCACATGAACATCTGAAAAAGTTGTTAAACCACCTCAAACAATCGCCTTCAAAAATTATTTGTTTCTCAGCTTTTATTGTGGGAAGAATTTTTTTTTGGTTTTTAGTTTTTCCTTGCCTCAAAAGGCTTTCAACAGGGTTTAGCTTACACAGCCACGTTATGTTCAGCCATGATGCCCACTAGTTCATTAGTCAGGATAACAAGAAACCAAAACTAAGCCACCTGAACAGAAACTAACCATATATGTTCAAGATACACATTATGATTCTAGCACTTATGGTACATTTTCAAAGGAAGGAAATCCTAAAACATTGTCACTTTTAAAGTGAAACTTCATCTGAACACACGATGAACTTCATAATCTTTCACACTAAATCTAGAAAAGAATATCTGTTGGCTCCTGGTAGATTCATCTGGTTCATATTGTTTGATATTTGCCTTGGCTTTGGATCAAGTGCAAAAGCATGTATCTGAATTCAAAGACACTGCCTTTTTCAAAGGCAGATCCACATTCTGTACAAGCAGCAAAAGAATAAATCAGCGGGTTTTTCTCTTTTAAAAGGTATATCCAAAACCTGCCTTTCAATAAAAATCAGGCAGTGCTGGAATATGTGATTTCAAAAGCCTTCTAAACCAGGGATCAAGTCAGTATGGTGAGCAAAATTGTCTTTTACTCCTTGGGCATCAGCTCACGTCATAATGACACCAGTAGCTGGATATTTAAACTGTTGTGCACGAAGGCTGTCTTCTTCCCAGCCAACAAACGTCCTCAAAGTCTGCATGCAGACCAAATGCACTAAATATAAGGCTAAATATAAGGAGACTGCCCACCAATCCAACTGCAAATGTTCTGTTGCAGTGAGGGATGTCTCAGTACCTTTAGGCCCTGCTACCTCGTCTGGCTTATTGCCTTTGCTCCCCCCTCCAACACCATCATTGCACATGTCGCTCTGGGGCAAAATGGAGGTCACACAATAATACCAGATGACCCTGGCAGTATCTGAAGAGTGCTTCCAGCAGTAATTTAACTCTACTTGTCATAGGGGATTCATCTCATTGAAAGCTACACATGCATTCACTTTCTCTTTTATCGGTATTTTCCTGTTTCCTTCTCCCTTTTGAAAGAAAGCGTGGGGTGGGAAAGGAGAAGGGAGAAGAACAAGCACAGGGGTGAGTCACTGAAGTAACACACACAGTACTTATCCTTCTTTTGAACAGGAGAAAGTTATGAATGCAGTTTAAAGGGGAAAAATACGCCTGGGAGAAAGAGTTCTGATTAAAAACAAGAAAGAAAAGTACTTCAGTGTTTTCTAAAACATCTGAAGGAGGGAGGTCTTAGCAACGCTGTAACATAGTGGATGAGCAAACAAAAAGTGGGAGTAGAAGTGACAGTTGTTAGTGGAAGCTTATCTACAAATTTCATCGTTAACCAAAAGGTTTACTTTAATAAGGACTTGAAATGATGGCTACTTATTTACCATCTTAATGAAAGTCTTAAGTTTGTTTATTTTTTTTAGATGGTGCATAGTGGGGGTTAATTTAAAAGAAATGCATGTAGGCTGCTATGTAATTGTTGCTGAAGAAAGAGCAGACTTTGCAGGCTTTTAACGCAACAACATCCCTGAAAAACCAAATTGGAATTAAATAAGGCCTGGATAAACAAACTTCTCATCAGCCTTGCACAAAACCTATAAAAGTCAGAACTGCAGCTGGACAGAGCAGTGTCTTTTGAAGCTTGACAGCAACATTCCTAAATCAAATATGTAGTTCAAAGCTGTTCACACAGGGAGTGTTCAGTTTCAGAAGTGGATGACATCACCCACTGTTCAGATTTACAAAGAAACTACAAAAATTGAATCATTCAACCACTGGGATCCCAGGATGAAGCAGAGACTTGCAGCTAAAGCATTTCCTCATGACCATATGAAAACATATTAGAAAAAATGAAAAACCTGTCAGAGCACATAGATATTGAAGGAAATGTAACATAAACAAAGAGCTAAATTAAAATATTGGTTTCTAAAAGCAAGAACAGAGTTTAAAGCAAAGAAAGACTGGGAAATTCTTAGGCTCTTTGTGGTGTTTCTGATAATCTCAAAGATACATTTTGAAAAACATTCTACCTCTAACAATTTTATTCCTGAAACAATAAGCACCAGATCCAGCATAAAATAGGAATATGCAAAATTACTCATCATAAAACCAATTATTGAACACCATAAGGGTGTTCATATCAGCAGCTCTTTGAAAAGCTAATAAAATGCATTAGAAGACAGAAAGAAGACACAAATAAGAGCATGTTTTTATAAAAAATAGAAAAAAACAAGTTATACAATGTACATTCAGCAAATTGACAAGTTGCATGTTTTCACATGAGCTAACACAGTTTCTGTTTTAAATTTGGTTTAAAATCAACAGATAGAGGTTACCACGTGCTGTGAGTAAATATACTAATACTGTGAGCTATTGTTTTTGCTGCTGCTGTTGTCACAAGCTTTGTTAAATAAAATCAAAAAACAAAGTAAAAAAGGAAAAAGAAAAAGAGAGCGAGAGGGGTACGCTGATTTTTGTAGTCTTGAGTGCCAGTCAAACATTAACACTATTTTCTTCACTTTGTTTGCCTTCCTGCTTGCCTTGATTGCTTTCTCCCTTCGTTACACCCACACTGCCTGACCTCTTCTTGCTCCTGTTCTCTATACTCCCTAAATTACCTACCCATATGCACCACATTAAAACATGTTATCATCTTCTCTTCCCATTACATCCATCAGAATTGTCAGCTTTGCAAATTTAATGTGAGGGTCAAATAACTAATATTTCTCTACATGTCACAGCTTATAGATTCATGCTATTAAGAGAGATTATCAACTTTCAGCACAAAAAAGTTTATAATGCTCCCATTTGCTAGAAAGAAATAGAAACCCTAAAAGCCAGGAAGTCTGGAGACAATAAAGAGATCATTAACTTTACTATTTTTTAAATAACGTAATTGTTACAAGCCTGCTTCGCGATCCTTGCACAAAGAGGACTGACATGACTGACCCACACTTAGGTCTCTTCCTCTCCTACAGCACAGGTGCATTCCTCCCCCCCTGCCCCACTACGCTCCTCTTTGGACACAGGGGTCATGCTCATTTTTCTGTGCTCTTGATTTATGATCAGTGTATCTAAGTGTTATGATGATTCAAATAATATATAAAAAAACATTAGACAACTCATGGCCACTGCCTTTCCTTCAGAGGAGGTGGGGAATTGCTGAGCACACCTCCCCACTGCTGAAGGCAGTCTGGTATTCTCAGCCCCCATGCTGCTGTATGCGCAAGGCTGGCAGTGCTGAAGACGCGTCAGGCCGAAGCACTGCCTCCCTTAATAAAAGTACGTGGCCCATCACACACACTGCAACCAGCCACAACAGTGTAGACTGAGGAGACAAGAGAAGGAAGGATCCCAAAACCTGGATCCAAGCCTAGTGGCTGAAGAGTCTGGACCATCAAAGTTTAGTAAGAATCTTCTTTAAAAATAAACTCTAAGCAAGCTACATTTTGTCAACTGCTTTCTTTCTTGCCACAACTTCTGCACTATTTGGACTCTCTAAAGAAGTTAAAATTGCACACCAAATGCTCTCTTCTGCAGAAGGATCTCAACTGGAACGGCTGCCATCCCAGTTCCTGGCAGTGAAGAGACTGTATTATATAGCCTTTGCAGATGCAGCATGCATTGTCCAAATGGAAAAGCACATCTAATAAATATGGGATAAAAAGTGCACTGATGAAGCCTATGATGCAGCTGGCTCAGCACCAGCCTGCAGGACCCCATGATCCAGCTGGTACTTTTTGATTGTTGCGATTGTTGGCCACAACCTTAAGGGTATCAGGCTTAGTGAGATGGAGAGGGCTATTGGAAAGGGACACATTTTGGTCCAATTTGCAACGAAAGGCAGCTGCAAGCCCACTAGATTCAGAAATAGACTGCAAGGAAAGGAGTGTGTAGACCGCCACTGAGTAGAAATAAAGGATACCACACACTAAATTTAGATATGAACCCTTTTAAAAACCACTAAAGATGTTTGTAAAATGACACACAGCTCCCTTTGCTGTAAGTGACAGCAGCAAACTACTAGTCTTCCTAGAAAGCACAGGTTGACTTCCAAGCCTGCAGGATGCTCCACACAAAAGAGTCTGTTAGCAGACTTGCCTATCAGCAGAGGAATGAGCAAATGATCCATTACAAAATGGAAGAAATGTATTTGGAAAACACAAACTAATTTTGATTCTGAACACCTCATTACAAAAGCAATAAAAAACCCATGTATTTTCTTCTTTTTCCCTTTGTGCAGTATTAAGGCTTCAAAGTTAATGAAGGCCCAGTGGGAAACAGGAAATCATGTAGCAGGTATCTAAGGACAACACTTGGCAACAGCAAAAGGAGCTCCTCCTCTTGAAAAACAACACTGCACTGTTTTGCAGCTTGTTCTCTGAGACCCGTTATTCTCATTTTATCCTAGTTCTAGGGAAGATGTTTACTATCTAGCCAGGCACACTACAACATAGTGTTACACAATGCTGATTTTCACTGTCCTAGTGTATACACTACTGTGTGTGGAGGGTTTTTTTCTACTTCTGGGAAGACTGACACAGCCTTCTCCTATCAAAGGGTGTTATCATCCTCCTACTGGAAGGCAGAATTTGCTCCTGGTTTTACAAAAGGTCTAAGAGTAGCCTGACAGGATTACTACTGAAGATCATGCAAAGCGCTGTTAAGGAACTACTCCAAGGAAAAAAAAACAACAACAACAACAACAACAACAAAAAAACACCAAAAAAAAAAAAACAACCGCCACACAAACCAACCAGGTCAGCAGTCAAAAATCCATTCTCACGATATTAGGCTGATCTGTAGTAGAGCTTTATGAGAAGACGACTAGTAAGGGGAAAAGAAGGAATATTTGTGTTTTCAGCTTTCTTTTTAGTTATGGACTAAAGTAATCCCTCCATTTTTCTTCTTTTTTTCCTATTCTTTTTTTCTTGAGGTTAATATATATCAGAAAGTAGTACATAAAAGGTTCACTTTCAGGGGGAGGGAAGGCCAGTGGTTTACATGTCAGGCCAAATTCAGATCCCATTACTCACATTAGCAAGCAGTTACACAAAAGACCCCAGTTACTTCAGTGGGGTTAATCACAGAGTAAGGTTCCACTCAAACTGAAGGAGTACCAAAATTTGCCTGTAAATTACATATAGTTAATATTTTAGAAATCCTAGATAATATGTATAGACATACACCATCTCCACCAAAGGTGAGTTGTAAGAGTCAAAGTTTATTGCATTTTTGCATAAAAATGTCTATTCTGTTTCCTAAGAACCTTAAATTTACCAGCCACTGCAATAGTGTATGAAGAGTTTGAGAATATAATCTTCATGCAGTTAGGAGATAATAATCTAAAAAACTAAATATTTCCTTGCATTACTAGGAACGAGATATGTGAATGAAGTCATTGTAAAATGACAGAGAATCTTACTTGGCTTAACAGTTTTGAAACTCCTTTGGCATGTTCAAAATCTGGTCTTCCAAGCACAGCTGGCTCCTTACTCATCTGTCCTCTTCCTTTCTTGTACTCAGCCTTAAAAAAATGAATGTGAATCACTATTACATTCCTCTTGATAAAACAAAAGCAAACAATTTAAGCATTAAAGCTAGCCTCATAGCCTCAAAAAAGTCTCATTTAGTGATCTGCACTGACACTACTTTCAGAGCTGTTCTAATCAGCTCTGAAAAAAAAAAACTGCTTCTCAGGCCTCAGACCCTTAACAATGTAATATTTATTTATTGTAAAACACAATGTACAGCATTCACAATATTCAACTTCAACCAAATGCATAACTTAAGCCTGAGAAATACTGTTCTCCCAAATCAAGGCAGAATGAGTTACAGTGGCTCAGCATTTCTTACCACAGGGTTTGCAGTTTACACAAGATTTGTAGCAGCTGAAACCAGTCTTGAAACAAAACTAGGCTGAGGGGCAGCTTTTTTGAAATCTAAGGTCAAATTCCACTCTCAGTTTTACCACTGCAGTCATGCTGGATGTCAGTGAGGTTGCACTGGTGTAGCAGAGCGGAATTAGTCCCACAGGGCTGGTGTTACATGATCTTTCCAGCTGAACTGCTTCCCATGCAAATTTTTTTTCCACAATGCATGAGAAAACAGCACAGATGAATCAACAATAGGTGCTTTGCAGTATCACAAACTAAATTACCCACTGCTTAAAATAGGCTCAGGCCCTGTGAATCAGCAAGGACACGTCATGACAACAGACTGAGGGGGAGGGGGAAAAAAAGGCCCAAAGCCACTCCAACTTAAAGGAGGCTTGAACAGCAATTAGTAAATTTGGGTGTTGAATGTAATACTTAGAAGTCTTCAGAAAATCCTGAATATTCAAAAAGTGAATCTCAGGTCTCTTAAATCTGTCTCTCAGTAGGTGCCACATGAAGCGACTAGGATTTACTTAAAATCTTGGCTCAGGGCTTTTATTGTTTTATTTGTTCTATTGTTTTATGTATTATACAATTTTTGAGTTGTCTACAATAAAATATTAAACTGCATCACACATTGCTGCTTCTCCAACTGCTCCTTAACCTATCTATTTGCAGATGTCATGATGGGAGGAAAAGAATTTGAAGAGGGGAGTCTGGGAAGGAGAGCACCCATGCAAGAGGCGGTGCTCTCAGGAGGACAGCAGGGAATTGCATGTCCCTGTCTCTGCTGGCCAAGATGGGAGGAGGAAGGGGAGTCCTGGGATGTGAGCTTCCCTTGTACTGAGGTGAAAAAGGCCCGGTGTGTCTTCTGAAGTGCAGTACAGCATATGAGCATATGACTTATTTTGAGAATGGTTATCATGAATAAAGCTGAAACAAAACCAATTTTTGTAAGCTTAACATTGTCTTTACATCAATGACCAATAACTGCAAAGGTCCTACTGCCAACATTAAAATAGAAGAAACCCATACCTATGTAACATACCAGGAAGGTTGGAGGGTTTTTTTCCTGTTGGGTTTGGGGTTTTTTTTAAGCAAACCTCTCTGACAGATTTGGGATTGCAGGTTTTCTGCTTATGACATTAGAGAATTTCAGTAGCATTCTAATTCATTCATTCTAAATCATTAGTATTCTAACTAATTCATCTGAATGAAATTGAAATAAATAAAATAATGTCAAAAAATACAAATAAAGTAATAGGAGAACATACATCACTTATTATCTTAGTTATCTCCGTTGCTATCTTTATGTCTGGCCTATTGAGCACTTCAGTGTATCTATGAGTATCTTGTACATCCTTCTTGTAGGACACCTGTCAAACAAGAAACAGCTTTGTTTTTTGGTTTTTTTTTTAAAAAAAAGCCAACATTTTCAGTTTATAAATAATCTTTGAATGACCTATCAACTCAACCATCAAATTCAATAGAATTCTGTCTAATTTATTCCAACACAGTCTTCCTTGACAGGGATTATTTAGTAAGACCCACACACAGGTTAACAGGATAAGGAAGAAATTCAGAAGCATAAAATACAATATGAAAATGAAAAATGGTTTTGCTTAGGAACGTAGAAGAAAATGAAAGCACTGCAAAGACCCAAATATTAGGGTTTATCATTACCTTTCAGATTTCCATGAGTACAGCATTTTTTTCACGATATACCCTTTTTTAATATAAACTGTCCCTGCTATGATACTGAGTACCACAGCCTAGCAGGTTGCAGCTACACTGAACAGAAACTGTAACTCTACCAGGCTGTATGTCTTTCTCACAAATAGGCAGCCGGGTAGCTGGTATGTAATTCAATGACACAACTCCACCCGGGTATCCCCCCCCCTCCGCGCAGCTCCACTTATCTGTTCCTTTACACAATCATGGGAACAAGAAGGCTGAGTGTTCCAGCATGTGAAGTACAAGACAGGATCTTTCTGTTTGTGCAGAAGCCACTATATAATGAATGGGCTCTGAAAACATTGGCCAGAAGGCTAAACCACAGGTAGGAGAGTCCAAACATTCTCCATCTAGCAAAGCAATCACAGGAACAGCATAGACCTCAGGGACGTTACAGAGCTCCGAGACCACAAGTTATCCTTCTTCCCCCTCTCTGCAGGTTTTTTCCTCTCCATTGCTGTAGCACGTGTGCCAATCTAAGCCAATTTTCAAGAGCTGTCTAACTGAATTATTCTGAATGATTAAGAAAATCATCCAAGATATTCAAAAATGTCTAAGAAATGGAAGTTTCAGGTAGAAGTTAGTAAATATAAAGTCTACATGAAATAGAAAAACATCAGAAGAATTCCTGCTTTACTGGACAGTCTTTCAGTTTTCTTGTGTTGTTTAACAAAGTTAATCAACCTCTCAAGACTGTATTTCACCACCATTTCACCAGCTCAAAGCTTCACCTAAAATCTCCATATCTAACTCCTATTTCCATTCTAAAGTTTTATTATGGGTACATTGCAATAAACTCAAACTGCAGCACCCAACAACAAATACAGTTTGTAGAAATGTTATTGTATAAAGATAAGAAAACAAATCTTTGACAAATATTTTACAGGCACAGGAAAGTAATTTTGCATCCATATGGCTTCAGCTGAATAGACAAGCTAAATAGGCTTCAGTGCTGGCCACTTGCCCACAAATAGATCTTACAATTTTTAATCTAGAATGAGTGACACACAAGTTTAATCACCAATAATATAAATAAATAAATAAATAAATAGGTTGGGTGAATACAGCCCAAAGTATCACCTACCAAGAAAATAGAAACTGTTTCTAACAGCTTGTTAAAAACCACTGGAAGTTTTGTTTTGGTTAGGTTTAGATATCCTCTATTTCTTAAGAAACTAGATGTAGAGACAAGCATTTGCAATTCAGGGCTTTACATGAATTTAGTTAATTATATGCTGTTCATCCTAATGACCACATGAGGTGAGGTGAAAACCACAAAGGCAGCAGAAACAAGTTTCTGAATAGCACCCTATCATCCATGTAAATTGCAAATTAAAGGCCAGCATATGTGCTCAAAATAGAAATTAGGAATGGAGTGAATTTAACAACAGAGAATCAAGAATAGTGGTGATAAAGTTGAGGAAATGTGGTCACTTATTGCTCCCAAATGACATGACCATATAGTAGATGAAAGAATGGTTTGTGGTTAAATTCAGCGGGAAAGTGGGGGGGAATAAGACAGTGACAGTCCTTTATATTTCACCATTTTCAATTATATTAGATGCAAGGCCAATTGCTATAGCTTTCCCTGAGTGAATTATTATTCTTCCTGCACCTAAACCAGTATACCTATTACTTATGTCTGAGGGAAAGTCATCTAGCATTTTACAAATGTCTGCAATATATATTTGCTCGATTCTGCAGCTTGTCATACTCCGGTGAGAATAAAAATGTTATGCAGCAGAACAGTAGTTTGTCAGAGGTAGGCCAAAGAAGGAAAAAATATGTTTCCCATTTCCTGAATAACCTCAATCCCTGGATGCTGACCCTTTCCCATTGGGACAGTGTGCTGGCCTCTAGTACACAGCTGCTATTCTGTTCTATCTAGTGATTTTTTTTTTTTTTAATAGTGCTATGTTAGAACAGTAAAACCAGAGCTATTCCAGGAGAGCAGCGGAACAGATGCAGACAGAGCAAAGCAACCAGTTTGGTGTGTGAACCCACAGGCACCGAGAAGATGGAAAGTGGAGAAGCTTACAAGAGGAGAGAAGAGAAAAATGAAGACTGGTAAAGCAACAAATGAAAGGAAACAGCAGAAGCACCCAGGGAAGGGGACATCTTTTTTCCTGACTTGACTCGGCCCCTTATAAGAGGCTCAAACCCTGACTGGAACCTCCAGACATTACACAATGCCCTTACTCAATCTTCACATCAAAGGATTTCTCAGACTATACCAAAAAGCATCACCAAAGGTTCAAGAATTACTCCTTTTTATGAGGACCACAGTTCTATGAAACATCTGCACAAACTGGCCTTTGGATAGATAAAAAGTAACAGAGATACTGACAACTTAAGAGCAGAAGTGAAAGACCCAAATGGAGAGCTGCAACAGATCAGTGAGGAATATGAGCGAGAAAAGAAGCTGGGACAAAAAGGGGAAAAAAAATTGTACAAGTTGCAAATAGCAAATTACAAATACTAACTAATTTAAAGTGGTTTTTTACCCCAATTTGAAATCACAATAAAAAGTGGTTACATTGTTGAATATTTTTTAAAAGCAACGATAATCCAAACAAAAACAATTTTCCTTCTTTAATCTCAAATGTGATTACATACTCTAAATTGCCAGTAGCTTTTGCAAGGCATGGAAAATATTCACTGCTTGCTCAGCATTAGTAGACTCACTGTAATAGGGCCAAACCTCCAGCTCTTATTAAAAGGTCTACTGAGGATAACCATGACAGTACTCCAGCTGAGGGTCCTGAAGATGCTTCACCTTTTGTGATGGCGCCAGTGCATTGGAATGGGCTACAATATTGCAAAGTAAGGAGATTTCTAACAAGGCTGCAAAATATCTCAAGTTGTCAGTCAACAAATGGAAACTTCTGCTACATGCTGACCAAGCACACCTAGGCTTAAAGGACTCACACCTTTCCTGTAGTCTTTTGTCTTCTCCCCTATTCCAAAACTTTCCCAAGTTATAGGTAATAAATAATTAAAATATGGACAAGCAGCTATGAACACATTTTGCCCGCTTGAGAGGCACACACAAGTCAGCAAGGAGCTAGGAATACGTATCTGCCAGAAAATTTGTCTCTTGCTGTTTGTCCTTGCTTAGTATTTTCTAAGAGCTGCAAGTCCACTAGCTAATGGCCTGTCAGCTGTGCCTCTGCCCCCTTTTTTCTCATCTGCACTTTGGGGTCCATCAACACTAAGAAAATGACTAGCTGGTGACAATCGTAATTGGCAACAGCTTTTCTGATCCCCACTCAAATGGTGTTGAAAACTGTTTCCCAGCTCATGTAGAAGAGACAAACATATTTCTGGCCCATTACAGATTGATGCAGTCATCCTTTCCAGTAATGGGCTTGAAAATTGATTGGTCCCAATTACATCAGGAGTAAACACATCATTTTCAGCACCAGTTGGAAGTGGTCCAGGGGGACCTGCTGTTGACAACCACTGTCAGCAGAAAGTTAGTTAGTGAAAGGTGATTTTTCTAATGCAGATGCTGAACAGAGAACCAGGAGGAACTTGATTTTAACATGATCTGCATCAAAACAAACATCGACATTTTGGTATATTCTTGATGATGTTTAAGAACATCAAGTTTAAGATCTTCTGATTTGATCTTATCAGAAACAATGCAATTTTTTTGAGATTGGACTGTGAGTGCACAGTATCTTGAACATAAAAAAAAACCCCTTACTCCTAAAACAACATATACCTCCTAAATATTCTAATTCAGATGGTCAGGGAAAAGCTATAAATTACCACAACAGATATCATATGGACTGCAAAGAGTATACATATACAACAAAAGTTTTCCCAACTGTCAACTAATACGTTTAAAGCGACACTATTTTATACACAGGCGTAAGAGAAAAGATACCAGGGTTCCAACCTCAGATCTGCAAACTGCCTTTTAAATGTCTACAGATGGGTCTATTGCAGTTTTCTTACTTGTAAAATCAGAACATCACTTCCTTATTCCAGACAATGTAATGCTGTTAAGATAATAATTTTAACCAAGCAGAAGATATAAATCACGGTACAAATGCTTAATATTGCTTTGCTATTCATAATGCCCAGTGATGGACAAGGTCATGGAACAGACAAAACTGTGATCCACAGCTTTGGTACCTCCATCAAATGCTATGTGCAGCTTCCACCCAGGCACAATGTCACAAGTGTTTTCTTTGCTTTAGAAACTTAATTGTCATGTCTCTTCTCTGTTTAATTATTTCCTTCCATCCATCTGATCCTAAGCTACACATAAGTTGAACCACTATTTTGTGACCTGACCATTTTATAATTTTCATCCCAAGCTTGGAAACTTCCAGGAGAGCTAAATAACATCAGCCAAGCATGGGCATAAAGTAGGCTGATGGTCGCTACATCATTTTCTTCAAATGCCTTTGTGTGCTAAAGTCACACGTTTAATACTCACTTCACAAAACTGAAACACAATTTATAAAGAAAAGTACTCTGGTTTGGATAAACATGCACTCTTTCAAAAATTATGTAGTATTTAAATTATTTTTCAAGTAAATTCCCTGTCATTAAAAAAGTCACATTTGCTCTTTTGAGAGCAATTTTCCTTAGTCTAAGCATGAAGAGAAAAATATTTTTCTTATACATGATCACATTGTTCAGGAGATTTTACAGTATTTCCCTATTATGCAGCTTCAGCCCACGCTCATACAGTGTGCTAATGATATTCAAAGTGGTGTGAAGGCCTACAGCACATGACAGTTTCAAAATGTCAGCACAAATGTATTGTAAGTTGAATACAGTCTTAATTTTTAAAGGAAATTGCACATTTCACAGAGTTGAGTATAAATGTCAGCCTTATTTTAAGGCTGAGTAAATAGTCTTAAACATATCCTAATCCTATTAGATGCAAACCCTGCTTGTAAAGGTTGAATTGAGCTGGCAGAGTATTGTAGGTAAACAGGCATTCTGCTCCCATAGGTATACTGTACTGAGCAGTGGATAAAAGAGCTTTGTCCATCTATTCTCCCAGTAGTTTCCCTCCTTTTTCCACACACATTCAAAGCTGTGATTCTAAAATAGACAGAAGTAGTTCAGAAAGACAAATGCTTCACATTTGGGATGCTTGCTATTCCATGCTCTGAATCAAAGATGAAAACTCATGCGACTCTTAATTAAACCTGTACTTACCAAACAAGAAATCCACAGCTATTCACCCTGATGCCCAAACAATTACCCACAGGAGCCATGTAACTCCGCTGACGTATCTTGCTCCTTTATGTGTATTAGAGTTATATCCCCATTGCACTGCATCTCCACATCAGCAACCAGAAAGAATCTCTTCTTAAACAGAAGAAACTATCTGCTTAGAGTTGCATGCTGGATATGGAGGGTTTGTTTGATTTTTTGAAGTTTGCTTAGGCTGAAAGTTATTGCCTTCATTTTTTTCATTATTTTTAACATGCTGTTAAAAGTTCTCATTTATCAAAACATCCTGGCCTCCTATGTTTGCCTTCATTTCCTTTTTTTTTTTTCTTGCTTTAAGGGTGAAAGAAGGTGAAACAACTGAATTTCATTTACTCTCACATCTGTACCCTGCTCTCCTTAATTCCGTTAGCAGGTGATGTACAGCTGTAGACAGGGAACAGGTTTTCCACTAGCATACTAATCCTCAGACCATGATGAATTTGATTCAAAAACTCATCTCATGTTCCTCCTGGTCCCACCACCTTCTCTGAGAGGGATTCCCATCTCTCTTCCCAACATTACTTCCTTCCCTAGTAGTTCACCATTGCTCCAACTGCTTATGGGAAGAGAAGTTCATGTGCCCAGCTCCTACACTCTGTCAATCTGACATCTTGATGCTTCCAACAGCAGAGATGGCCAGAGTTTGACAGGAAGAGGGAATTCTGTAATGAAGGCAGGTTGCAGATTACTGCTGGGAGTTCCAATGCAGGTATTTCCCAGCAGAAGGAAAAGTTATTCTTCAAACATAATGCTTCCCTGAAGTTTTCCAGCAGCCTTTTAATCAGCGGCCAGCTGTCAAGATTCTGCACACACGGACATACATCTAACATTGACATTCAGCATTCAGCCTACGTAACCTAAGATTGTTTGTTACACTGTCAGCAGGGAAGGTAGGGTACAATAGGGTAAATTTAAGCCAATTCAAAATGAACACCCAAGCTTCATTTTCTGCATTGTTAGCAGCAAACAAATACCCCGTTTACCTGAGAAACAAGAGTTATAAAGTCACACACCTACCTGACTTGACTTGCTTACCTAAGAAGAATGGAAAAGGATGATAACCTTAAAGGTATTTATATTTCAGCTGCTCTTATTGGTTTTGTGCACCCCTGAAAATGACCTCACTACTTTTAGCAATCTTCTCCTAAAATGTATTTTCCTCATAAGTAAGCTTTTACAAAACCTAAGACATTTTTCTTCAAAGTAATGTCTGTATAATTCAAGACACTAATCTTGGTAGCATTTCTACCCCTAGCAATGGTGCATTGGGCTAGTATAAGACAGCTCAACCATGAAATCAAACCTGACTTGAAACTAATAAAAAGTGTAAATACTATTAGGAGGCTTTTTAGATTATGAAAACCAAAAGAACCTCAAGAAGTTAACAAGCAGCTGTAAAAACAAAACACACCCAAAAAAGCCACCAACCTCTAAAAATATTGCTAATTATTCTATTTGTAAATTATTTCAACAAAGCTACAAGAACAAACACTTTGGTCAGTGGTAACAACTAGTGCCAGGCATCAAATTCAACTCTATGGTTCAGATTCTGTAAATTAACTCATAAATCGTTCTTTGGAACTCGTTTGATACGTACTCATGAGATGGGAACAAAGCTATTCATGTACATAAAACTGTGCAAGAGCAGGGCAGAAATAGCCCCCTTCTCTCCTCTAAAGAGAACACTTGAAGAACTACCTAAACATCGACAGTGTAAGACACTGAAACCATGCTGGTGTTTACGTAAACAAAGAGCATTATACACTTTTAAAGTACAAGTAGGTATACATGAATTCAGAGAACCTGTCTTTATTTCAAACCGAGAGCACTTAATAACTTTTACTACTAATAAACAATAACAAACACTTTCTAATGCAGTTTAGAATAAAAGTCACATACCATTACTGATAGCATATTTCAAATATACATCATGTCCCAAAATACTTCCAAGCAAATAATGTAAAAAAATACCAACAAATGAAATATGAAAACAGTCTATGCCCAGTTAATTTCAGTTAGCTATAATAGGCATATCTAGCCAAAACAAATGAATATAACGAAACAGATGAAATCATTTCAGATGGGGGAGTACTTACATCACTCTGGTGTTTACTGACTTCCATAGCATGCTTAATATCTGGAGGCTCCTTCATATGTGCATAATCTGAAGTTCCTTTCTCAGCATCACGTTTTCGTTTATAGAGAACCTGAAAAGAGCAACATTACACTTCTGTGACCTCAGCAGAGCAGGTATAATAATATGAGCTGGATTAAACCTAGCGTCGTAGTGCATCTGCATCCAGGAAGAGATATAATAAATAATTAAGCTCCTTAATGGAACAAGAACCCTGAAACAAGAGCAGCTTCTACACAAACCAGCGACATATGAGGCAGCCAGCAGAGAGATTTCTCTGCGTCTGGTATTGCAGCAGAGGTATGAGTAGACGGGTGGAAGAAAGACAAATATACAGAAACAGAAAATTAACCTTAACAAGGTGAGAAGACAACCCAGAGACAAGCATAAGGGAAAGCTTTTTTTTTTTTTTTGCTCAGCTAAGTAAATATTTCTTCAGGAGGTGGTGTTCGGGGGTTTTTTTTGCCTGTATTTGCAAAAAAAGAAAAAAAATATTTTGTGCATTCCTTGTAAATAAAAGGTTTTACATTAAATACCTATAGCCCAAACAACTATTTCTTCCCCTGTTTGAAATTACTAGCACAATACACATTTTCACTAGCCCCCAGGTTTACAAAGAAAGATAATATTTACATTCAATTTTCATCATAGTAAAGGAAAATAGAATTGGATTGGGAGTTGATAAACAAATTTATTTTTATAATAGAAACTGAGCTCAATGTTGGGCATTCATCCAGCTTTCCCTATACTTACATATACACACCCTCACATACTGAATCCACCTGAAAAGCTGATCTTGCACTTATCTTTGTCAGAAGCTTTTAGGCTTACATTAAGAAAATTCACCAGGTTTTGATGCCTGAAGAAGCAGCAAGCATCAAGTAAATTCATTTTCTAATAGCTTTCAGGAGCAAGCATTAAAATAATCCCCAAGAAAACAGCAAATACTAAATAAGATTGAAAGCTGACCAGGAGGAGAAGGATTTGAAACTAAAACCCTTGATAGTAATAAAAGAATTATGCGAAAGTTTTGACATGGGAACTCTTGACTACGGTGACTCGGACTCTTAGGACAGGATACTAGAACTGTGAGAAAATGTTGTGTCTGTTTGTGTTTAAGGCAGCAAGATTGCATCTGAGTCACAGATCTGGGTGCCAAGGCAATATATTAATATCTGCCCTGACTCTCAGATTACAAAATGATATACAGGCTAAGAGCTTAAGACAAAAAGGGGTTGGGTTGGGGGGTTTTTGCACTGCTCCTGTATGACTGAAATTATTATGTTTGGAAAGTCAAAATGTGCCATCTTCTTATACAGTGTAAATCCAACATGATCACACCTCTGGGAAAACAAGCACAAATGAAAAGAAAAAAATGTCTAACACCTTCCTATACTGATCACATCTGGTAACTGGTAAAGCAAATAATCTTTACCAGTACTAAAGCATGACTAACAAATCACCCCCTGCAAAAGTGTAATTACTATATAATCATACTGCACAAAAGCTCTTTTGCTAATTCTCCTGTTTCATATTGCCACTTTTAAGATGTTCCCCACTTAATAGTATTCTGAAAAGCAGATCCATACAGTTACTTCCCAAATCTACTAATTTACAGATAGTTTAGTACATTGCCACTTTCCTGGTTCAACACCTATATTTTCCTGTTGGGAAATGGGTTATGTAGCCAATACATCAAAACACAAAACCACATCAACTCTCAACATGAGAAAACTAACAGAAATTACAACTTAGGAGTCTGCTATCTTGGGGAAAGATGGCTGTTTCTTTAGCAAGTCAAATATTCCTGCATTAAGCTATTTGACAACTGTGTTCTTCCTATCTTCGCACATTATTCTTATTCACTGATTTAAGCCTATGATTGCTTCAGGGTTACTAAGAGGAGTTCAATAGCTGCCTAGCTTTGTTTTGGACAATTTAGTACAGAACTATTCCCAGATCTGCAAATCAGTCCCAAGGAAGCATGAAGAAATATTTATCAGGATTATTTCATCAATGTTCTTAAAACCATTATTTTACATATTAGCATGTGTACCCTTTTTTCTTATTTCATGTTAATTTTCAAATTTTAGTTGTTTTTTTTTTTTTATCAAATCTACATATGAAACTATTCTACAGAGAGATCAAGTCAGTGATGTAACCTCTGCTCTCTGGTTGGCACCTTTTATTAACTCCAGAAATGCAAGGGAATCATTTAAGTAGGTATGAATTCAGATTGAACTAATTTGTAAGTACTCATTTTTTATTTTTCTTACCTCTCTTGTACACCAGTGTGTCATAGGAAACTGCATTAAGGAAGGCTTTGTGCTCTTTCAACTCAGCTCTGACTGACCTTCTGTTTTGGAATACTTTAAATATTATTAAATTTTTATTTTTATATTTCCCTTTATTGTCAGTAAGCTGCACTCCAAACTTAAAATCCACAATGTAGGATTTTGTAGGAGGAAATATGCAAGAATACAGAACATGCCATTTTAATCTTCAGACTGGAATTAAATTATCTGATGTATTTGTGTAAAACTAGAGAAGTCCAGGAGACTAATACTTCCTATCATAAAAAAGAGGAAATCTTGAACATCAGGTTTGATTCCATTAAAAAAAAAAAAGATTTAGATAAGAGTCTGATAATGTGTACTATGATCATAAATGATGCAGTAAACCACAAAAACAGATTTATAAAAGTAAAAAAAAAAGAAAGTAAAAAGAAGATTCTTCCCATAAGTAAGAAAAACTCTGAAACTTTCTCCAGAAGTTGAAAATATTGCTTAAAGATTCACTTGGCTCATCATCTTTAAAAACAAACAAAAAACACTGTTGAGCATTGACATACAGTTACTATTTGAGATATTGCCCTGTGCAAAGGATAAAATTAAACTGCCTTCAGTTTGCTTTAGATTATTCCTTTCAGATAAGAAGAAAAACAGTGCAATCTCTTCTTATGGCAGAAATAAAGTGATGAAAAGCATGCTTTTTTCAACATTGCTTCCCCCTCAAGCAATTTTAAATACCTTTATCATTGTTTGTGACAACTTATTAAAAAAAATGTTCTGTGTAAGGGAGAACTCAGTATACTGGTCTTCAAACAAGAAAAAGACTTGGCACAAAGCTTGCAATGACCAGAAATTTTCCTTCGGAAATATTTTTCACAGGAAAATTGCAATTTTTCAGAAAATGTTCATTTCCTATGAGGAAAATCAAAATGAGGGCTCCTCACCTAGACTGCTCTCAGCAGCTTTATTTTCTCATTGCAAAGAACAGGGAAATCAGCGAGAGCTTTGTTGGCTGGCAAGGGGGGTGAAGTTACACACGGGGATAGGGACTTCTACTCTCTTTAGCTTACACTGGGGACAGCTATGACAAAAAAAGAGAGTGAGGAAAATCTGGTTGCTCACCCTCAAGAAAGCTATTTATAAGGCGACAGTCAGATTCTCTGCACAGTTGAAAAAATAAAATTGATAAAAGTGGCCCAAGTATGGCAGGCTATGAAACTTCTTTCTCATTCTCCTGAAGAATTTTTTTCCTCATAAACACTGTCATGATTTTTTGTCAAAATATCAGATGGATTTCCCTTTCTATGGGTCTTTCACATCTTTGTGTAAATTCTGTATAAAACACAAAAGAGAAAATGTGGCCTTTATGCAAAAGCCAGCAGAGGTGGTCTTGGTTTAGTCTTTCCTGTGTATCTTAAGAGGGAGTTGAGCATGAATCAGTACAGGCAATAAGGTGAGAAATAGGAGAACCACAGCTGCCAGGGTGCTGTACTCTCCATTATGGGGAGATACTTTCATTGTATGGCTGGAACCCTGCAGAACAATGTCCTGGCTCTGCGAAAGCCCATGACAACTGCCATATCAGATAGATGGTGCCATGACAGCCTCTTGGGTCTGGAGAGGGTAGTGAAGGGCAGCTGTAGGTGGGGAATAATTTCTTGTGAGAAAACGGAAATTTCCCCTAGTTCCTTCAACTTCCTAAATCACAAATGTGATCTGAAATGGTGTATATAATTAATAAATTGTTAGATGTAGGTAGGTTGAAAATTGAGCTGCTGGGCAGCAGCTCCATTTCAGGATCAAACATCAGGTCATGGGAGAGACCATTTGCCAAGGACACACATGTGTAAGGAGATCACTCAGCTGTGCCAGCAGGCAGTAGCAGGGAAAGTCAGTGGCTCTCTTTCTTCCACGCCATGGTCCCGTAGTCCCAAAATACCTGCTTGGCAGATGAGGTTACAGATCCTGCCAAGAACATGGCACCATAGAGTGAGAAAGCACCTGCTTGAGCTGGTTGCAAAAGCATTCCAGCCCAGCCTTGCATCCAAGAAACATGGAAAGGAAGTCAAAGGTGTAAATTTTTTCTCATGTGGATGGGGAGAACACATACTTGTATTTTCCACCTCTCAGGAAATCAGCACCTATGTTAAACCAACTGACTATAACTGAGAAACAGACTGCAGTTCTGTGCTTGCAATAGCCTTTTTTGAGGAGAGTTGGCACAATGGCCAGACAGTGCTGTTCTCCCTCCTTCCCATGCCATACCCTTGGTCTCCTTTGCTGAAGTGATGACCTGTAAATTCACAATCACTGCTAGAGAGATGCTTCAGAAATCCTCTCTGTCATATCCTGACCCAGTTGAATCTGAAATCCTTGTATTAGCTACTTAGGTACCACAGTGATAGGCACAATATGGATTAGATTTGAATACTGTAGAGATTTTCCACTAGAAAATCCCCTAGGATCTATCTCAAAGTAGCATTAAATTCAGGTCCACTGCAACAGCAACCAGAAGTTGGAAAAATGTGTCAGCATATCTTTAAGTTTTATGGCAGATTATGATTTATAATGCATCTATTCCTAAGGGAATGGTATGAATTTTAGAGGAAAAGTTTCTGCTTAAATATAATTCATCCTATATGCATATTTGTTTCTCTATGACTGTTGGATGACTGAAGAAAACCTTCCAAAAAAATCAAATTAAAATGTCAGTCTGTTCCTTAAAGGGGTCTTTCTGCTCAATCAAATGGTTTCATTTTTAGTCTCAGTTATTTATCTTTTCTGCCACATCACCAATGTTAATTAACTTAATTTGCGTAAACTAATGTAGAATGTACTCATTTGGAATGAATCCAGGAGATCTGTGGCAAACTAGTTAACTAATGTTTTATAAATCAAGGTAATAGTTTAAAAATGTTATACAAGTTTAATTCCCAATTCATTTCTAATGTAATTCTTCTAATCACTCAATTCACAATTAAATGTCACATTAACGTTATTTCAGCTACTGCACTGCTTTGAGTGTATATATGTTCCGTTTCAAACTATGAAAACTACAATATATTTTATGTTATTATATTTGCTTAATGTACCCTTGATTAACACATTGTTTGAAATCAAAACATTTCTTCACAAGCTGTCCTGAGATTTCAGTGCTTTCTTTTGTTATGAATATTTTCCTTTGTTTGAAAAAAAACACACTGCATTAGAATAATGCATATTGAGATACAATCAATAATATGGATTTAGGAGTGTGTTCACTTCACAGACTGGCCATATTAAACTATACATAGTTAATAACTTTAAGAAAGGACAAAGGCAAAACATGACGAATGTGGAAATGCTTGGTGGACAGAAAGCCATGACCGTCTATGAGCTGTAATTCTCAGGAGTTACAGTGAAAATCTGTAACTTCATTCATATTACACATGCTTAACACTCACAATTCCACTGAGATCAATGGAAGTGAAGGGTCACCTGCCTGCAAAAAGGGTATTATATTTTTAAGCCCCTGGAGGCAACTGAACTGGAATTTGCTATTTTACTGCTTGTTTGCATGTTTTCCACTATGTTTAATATACTTGATTTCATACTTTTAACTGTATAAATCTTGTTGAGTGGTACTATGTAGATAATCAGAAATATATTTACTGCTACCAGTAAAGTGCCTTTAAAAGTCATTATTTTATTGTTTTTCCTTTCAGCATCAAACATTTTATAAAGCTTATACAACATCCAAATTGAAATGGCTGTGATAAGATTCATCTATTCTATGAATGCAGTGCCATGTCACTGAATCCACTAATTCCTTATTGTATTAATGGATTTCTAATGGATTTCATTGGATTAATGAGTGAATTGGCAGTTTTTAAATTCATATTTAACAAACATAATGAGTAACATTGTCAACATTTTACAAGTGAGTGATTCTTTAAGTTAAGGAATTATAGTGATAAACTCTGGATGATAAACTCACCCAAATAAATCAAGCAGGCAATCAAGTATCTGTTCAAACTTTTGTCAAATTGGTCATATTCGGTCACACTATTCATCTAAAAATAATTTTTGCAATTCTAAAATTTTACCTTGCTCTGAAGTTGTGTTAATTCTTTTGCAAACACACTGTCAATTGTGGCTGGCATCTGCTGATAAAGAGAGTTGGAAAGGTCTTTCTTAGCAGCTCCTTTATACTTCACCTAGGAGAGAAGACAAAGGTGACATATAATGCAAAAATTAAGAAACAGTAGCAGGCTACTTATTTTTATTAAATAAAATGGCAGAGACCATTAGAACTGGAAAAATCTAATGCTGTCATGAACTTTCAAGCAAAACCAGATCTTTAACAACTTTGAAATACTTTAGGTGGATGTGTCTAATTCATGAAACAAAGCTAAGTGTCTCCTAATTAAATTCAATAATTTTGGGGGAAGTATAAAATAAGGAAAGCAAGGCAGTTATATTTCTATCCTTTTTTAAATAATTTCATTGCCCAAGTTTTTCACAATGGGAGCAATGAGAGGCCAACAATAAATATTTTACCAATTAATAACAACAGGAATAAAATATAACTGAAAAGGATAGGAACATTGAAGCTCCCATGTATGCCATCATTTCTACTTAATCTTTTCATATTACAGACTCATTTTTAAATTACTTTTATTTACCCTGTGCTTTTTCCAGTGTTCATTACTAGCAATTCCTCACAAAAGGGTTTTATGAGACAGGTCAAAATAACAGTTGAAAATCTGTGAGGCTTTGCTTCAGATCTAAGTTTTACAAATTCATAAAACAATAATGTCAAGTATTGCTGTGAAAGTAATCATAAATAGCAAAGATATCTTAAATTATACTGTCTAATGTCATTAATTTACTGTGCAATATACAGGGGTTCATTAGAGAGTAGTTCCCCATATCTATCATATATATCCCAATAATTTGCTGTAACTTTTGTTGCTGTTTCCCAAAACAGAGAGCTCTTTTTCACTGCAGTAGACACGCAGTTAAGAAATTCAGTGTTCAAGTTTTGCAAAAACAAGTTATGGGACACTAGAGGTCAGTAATTTACAAGATAAACATTCATCACATTACTGGCTTCAGGTAATGCTGCAATAAGCAAAGCGTACCCAACAGTGTAATAACATAAAACACACAGGTTTTAACTTCTGAAATATCTTTTTACCTCTAAATCTTTGACTAATAATTAGCAGCTTTTCTTTGGAATCAGACAGATGGATTTGATAAATTCTCTCTGTCTCGTGCTCTTGTAGACTACAGTAGTCTGTCTCTTAGAAAATATAATTTAATCACATTCATGTCCCATGGGACATGCCATGCTTTCTCAGAAAATATGAAGATAAATATAACAAAAATATTCATCAGATGTATTTATATTGAACGTAGCAAACCCATATAACAGCAGCAGATTGTAGAACGCATATAAATTTCACAACTCCAGACAGGGAGTCTTCCAAGGGTCATAGTGACAGAAAAATCCCTCAAAACCAGAAGTTTCTTAACAAAAGCAACTCTGCCGGGTAAAACTCCTGCTGCTATTCTCATCCATGGAAAATAATCAGAGACACAGTCCTATGACACCTTGTAGCTGGGACATGAAGAGCTGACAGCAAACTCTGCTCCGGCATTTTGGAAGCTGCCGTTCTATGTCACTACCGTTATGCCTGTGTCGACACAAAGCCTACTCTGACATGGGTATGCAGGTGCTCAGGAGACCCACAGATGGCACTGACCTGATGCCTGCCCCAGTGCCCTTGCTGAAGGAGGACAGGGATGATAATATCGCAATAGTTTCCTTGTCTCCTTCTTCTTGACATCAAGCTGTGAATTCCCCACAGCGGGAAACTACACACAGGTATAATTTACAAACCTCATCACTGCAGATTAAGTAACAAGAAAACATTTTGCTATTCCTCAGTTTATTCATCCATAAAATGGGATAGCTAGGACTGCCTCAGAACCATTAATAAAATATCTTGGAATCTCAAAATAAAAGTGTTGCATAATTCCAAATTATTGTTACATGTACATTATACACTAATTACAGCCATTTAAGTCATTTCTGCTTTAAACAGAATTGTTATTTGAAATAAACCATCCTTTCCCTGCTAAAACCTACCATATTCAATTGGCAGTTTTCAGGAAGGATAGGAAGCAAGAGAATTCTTCCATCTTTTAGGTCTTACCTCAGAAATAAAAGCACCAAGACTTTTCACATGCTTTAGTTGTGGGGTGTCAGGTACAAATGTGCACTTGCCTTTAGATTTTTTAAACTCTTCTTTATAGTGTATCTACAAAAAGAATAAAAAATAAGTTTAATTTTCTTTTAAAAAAGCATAAAAATAAACAATTGGGTGTTATTATTATTCCTAATAGTAAATAATACCAATAATACCAATAGATACTATGGGGGGTGGCTTGCAAATACTTCAGATCAGATCAAATTAAGCCATAAAGGGAAACACCGAATTCTCTCACACACTACCAGGACTAGGAAAAAGTCACAGAACTCTTTATTATTAAAGATGAAAAATATATGATTTTTCTCTACATCTCCAGCACACTTTTACCACTATTGTAGTTGATCTAGTATCTCTAAAGAAAGGAGAATAAAATAATTGATCTCCTTGATCTCAAAGATAAAATTGTTAAACTAACTTCTAACACAGGCCTAGCAAGCACAGAATCTGTATAACATAATCAAATGCCCATTTATGAATCCAAGAGTTACATGAATAAATTCAGAAGGTCAATGTCAAATCATTGCCTGAAAAGCACCCCAACAGTCATGACATGCAAGTAATAACAGAGTTTCTTTAAGAGCAAAGAAATTTTAGATTGAGACATTTTTTAAATCCTGTGTATGCACAAAGGAAACCACTTTTGAAGAAAAAAAATCAAGACATATTTTGAAAAAAAAAAAACAAAACAAGTATTTTTTTTAACTACCAACATTTTACTTACCATGAGGCAAACAATACAGACAGATATAATAATCACGATTGTTGATGAAGTCAGAGTTAGTTTGTATTAATGAGTGTTAGAAGGATAAAATCTATGGAGATGGGGAATGTATAGGGCCCTTGCGTGAACATGGTGAATCGTGATGAGATGGACTAATTAAGTTTTAAAGATGGACACTTTATACTGACAGCCTTAAATATTTTTAGTGACATTTCTTTCTTTGTACATAGAATAGTTAAGTTCAATGCAAATTGAATTATTTAGTATTAAGCTTTCATGGTTATTTTCTGCTACCATTTCTCTAACCTCATTTTCACATTTTGCACAAGAGCAGCTTGCATTTATGCACTCTAGACTTGCTGACAAGTACTGACAGAAGCAATATGATCTGCATCTGAGCATTACAGAAATATGGAGTCTTAATTTCCTCTTTCTCTGAATTCTTAATGGATATCACAAGTTCTAGTCTACACTACTCTACAGGGCCTTGGAAAATTCATGAGAAGAATGGCAGCTTACACAGAAGCAGCTCCTGTACTTTCTGATGCAAACTTCTTGTCCATCACAAAATGGATTAGATAATGCCAAATTCACCTCATTGTGGTTATTAATGAGCTCATTCATGTTCGGACTACTGAAGGAATCTACATGTCATTACCAAATCATACTTTCTGCCTATGTGGATTACAGTTTATTCTAAATAAAAACTGTTTGGTGAACAATGGGTGTAAAATTATGGTGTATCATCTTTTTACTCAGGGCCCCACAGATCCACCGATTCATGTAAATTGTGTGTGACACTGTACTCCTAGGTAATCACAGAGTAATACCAAAAAAATATTAGTTTTATGATAAACATGAGCAGGCACTTAATGTTCAGCCTGCACACATGCATGCATGTACTTGCAAGTATGTGTATGTATGTGCTTATAAACAGCTTAAAAAAAGCTTCATAGAATTATGTTCATTCACAGTGATACAGCTGAGAAGGGGCATGGGAAAACGACACAGCTGACTGTCTACTCATTACGTTTGATGGCATTCCCAGTAGCAATTCCTGTAAAGCTGAGACTCTGGTAGAGAAGATGCAGAATCTTGCTGCTCACCACTTAGATGAATCACCCACAGATATCAGAGAGCTGACTGTAATTACATCCATTTTAATTACAGAGCAATAATTACATTCAAAAATCAAACATTAAAGCTTCCTAAGGTATCTCCTAATTGGGAGGGGGAGGGATGACATGACATGACTAGAAGAAACAAACCAAGCTAGTCTGCTGTAGAAGTCATGCTTTCAAAATAGTGCAAGGTGTCCCTGCCCATGGCAGGGGGGTTGGAACTAGATGATCTTTAAGGTCCCTTCCAACCCTAACCATTCTATGATTCTATGACTAAAGCCACCTCATTACTTCTTTATTATTCATATTTATTATAGTAACCCATAACGGCCACAAAATGCACACAGGCTCAAACAAGCAATTTATAGAGGACACGTAACAAAATGTGTGGTCAAATTGTGATCCAACACACTCCTTTCTGCTACAGAAGTGTCTGCATCGTTTGGAATCAGAAAGATGGAAGATTAAATGGGACAAGTATAATTAATTCATTATATCTGCACTTAAAAAGCGTATTTATTTTGAGTGATGTAAGCAAGAGGCTTAAGAGGTTTGTTATGACTGAACATAACCAATAGCTGGAAGGAAGAGGCTGAAAAGCCAATATTCCTCTTCAAAGTTTGGGGTTATAAATTCAGATGTCTAAAATACTGAATAGAAAATTTTTCCTGTGAGTGACTTACCCTTCACCACAAAATACACTGTTTTGGTTAAGTAGATCTTGTAAGCCTTGTGAAAAAAACAAATAATAGGAAAAATTTGCAAATGACAGCCTGCAGCCACCACTGCTCTTTTGATATACTTTTGAAGCCCAACAGCTCATTAAAGGCCCAATTTTAATAGCTCTCCCCTGATCCCTTTCTTTTCCCTGACTCATCATAAAACTACTCTGACCAGCAACACAGCTATCCCATAGAAGCAGATAGACATTCCTAGACAAGCACCAAAACAGTATGCTTCAAACTGCATTTTTTCTTAAGGGATGTTATATGGCAAGATCAACTTTATAAAACAAGGGCATCCAACCTTTAGGCTGAAGTTTTCTGTCTCATCAAGAAAATTCATCTCATCCATGGTCTGTTCCATCAGCCTTTGTCACAGAGGAAACACAGGAGGAGACCGTGGGCTAAAGGAAAGGCTCCAATGGTGACAGCTGAATCCAAGCAACCACCTTTCCTTTGTATGCAGGGACACATATTAATGTAACTGTAGTATCAATACACTTGAAAAAAACTGGTTTTGCTGTCTTAACATCTATGATGTAACCATGTTGACAGTCATCATCCCAAGATCCATTATAGAACTGTTATCTCTCAAAGATCCATTTAAGTTTAGAAAAGCCACAAAAAGGTCTGAACCTCCTTATCTAGCTCTTATGCTAGATTAAAAGGGAACTTTTTTCTATTAAGAATTCTATTTCCAAGCCTACATTTCTTAATTTGTAATCTCTCATAGACTAAGAGCAGTGTCAGACCACAGATCCATCTAATACAAAATCCTTTCTCTCTGGCCACAGAAGCCTAGAGAAAAGCATGAGAACAGGGCAAGCATACTAGTCTCCAGCAATTTAGGACCTCAAAGTCCTCTTGAGATAGTGGCTATGACTAGTAAGGGCAAGCCCAGAGGAACAGTTCCACCCCGAATTAGGTGGTCTCAAGCCTATTGGTTGGAAAGGCACTCTGCTTCTGCTCTTGACTCTAGGTCCCTTTGGCCCTTGCTTTATTACAAAGTGACATGCTGAAACAAAGTAGGACTCTGTACAAGGACAGTTAAAAGGCAAGTAGCCTTACTTTTTGCTGTATGGCAAAAGAAGTACTGGTACTACACATTACCAACGTTCAACAGAATCTTCAGAAGGCAGAGTTTTCGTAGATAGGTGATTATGATAGTTTGGCCAATGATCATTTTACTCATATAATATTTTGTCTCCCAGCTTATAATAGTATTCACAACATCCCACTACACAACCAAAACAAAGAAGAGATAAAAACATACCAAAATAAACGTAATACAAGTAAATGGACAAGTTCAATTTCAATATGGAAGAGAAAAGGCCTGGAAAGGAAGGTAATTCATATAAATTGAACACACATGACTAGTTTTGAAACATCCGTGGAATCAAATTGCATAATGGCGGGAGATCAAATGGAATGGCTTTAGGGAGAAACAATTCAGGGGGTATCAGAGCCACAGAACAAACATCTGCCAGCCTCAAATGAAAACAGGGATTTCCTCAAGAACCGGAGCACATAAACACTTCACAAGTTTCCCTACATTAGGCATACACTAAGGGTTGCCATCGTAACACTTTTTTAAAGCCATACCGTCGAATTAAAGTCACCCTGCAAAGAACGAAGGGCAAGCATAATGCAACCTCAGTATCTCAGTCATGAGCCCTCCTGGTGCTGCATTCTGATGGAGAAGCTGTGCTGACAGCTCCTCCAGCAGAAAAGGACTATCACCTGGTCTCGTGGTCAGCAAGGACACAGGCTGCTGTGTCCCAAGGTCATCTCAGGGCCAAACTGCAAGCCCCGTAAAACCATTGTACACGTAAAATGTACAGATGTACACCGACGATACATCCACACAAGCAGCAGTTTGTGCAAAGATTCATGCTAAAAAGGTTAAAGAATATATAAAAAGTTCTGAACGTTAATGAGTCAAAAATCAAAGGGAAGAATGCCAACTCCTTGCAGTTTATTGGCCTCTGCAATGAAATGTGCAGGGTGAGGAACTTACCCCCCAGCAAAAAATGACTTCAGTGGTCATACGAAATTACAACAATAGCAAAAAATTCTGGGGAAAAAAATTCACCCCTATATATATGCATATTCCATTCAAGCTAACAGCTACTGATTTCAGTAGAGGCTGAATAAGGCCCCAAAATTGGATGCTATTTTTAAACAGAGTTTCTTCTTTGAAATTAAATCTGTCTGAACCATTATATATTACTACTGCTTTGAAAGCATTAATGCACTTTTGCATTATGTTTTACATACCTCAAGAAAAATCTAATGCTAGCACTTGCAAGCTAAATACATCACAAGTTTTCAGCAAAAGCCCACATCCCTGAACCACTATAGGATTCAAAAACCTGTCTTAACTTACACACTTTAGCTCCCAAGTCCCTGCAGAAAATCAGAGAAAATACAGCCACTCCATTTATCAGTTAACCAGCAGGCACAGCTAACATTATTCTTAATGGGTACACAACACAGTAACCATTCCTCTTCAATGAAAGAAAATATTTCTTCAGCATTTTTCAGAGTTTTTGCCTTTAAGAACAACCACCATGTTTAGAAACAAGTTGCATGGAAACAATAAATGTATTTTGGGTCAGATAAGTGCTCCAGATCCATTTTCATTTTGGCCTTTACATAAAATGACAGGCACTTATTGTACCATATGCCATTCTTTTTCCAAAGAAAGCACAGTAAAAATATGAACAATCTCTACTGCTTCCTAAAGTAGCTTGAGCTTACAAGGGAGCCATCTTGGTAGCTTCTTGTTGGGATCTATCCAATTTTCAGCACTCTTTCTGTGAAAAGTAAAGCATTGCCAGACAATGTATGGACAAAGAAACTTTGACCTTGCCAAGTTACACTTTCAAGCCAACACTGTAACACCTACACATCCCAGATGTTGAATTTTCTGAGTTACCTATTCTTTTCTGATACATGACCCCTAATAATTCATACCTTAAGTATAGATTCTGTATGTTCTATTCTCATAAAATCAACATACTAATTCACCTCAAACAATAACATCCTGAATCTAAAAAAAACCTAAAAATCAGATTACAACACAGCAACAGCCAGAAATCATTTTTCGGTTTCTTTAGAAGAGAGAACAGTTGTTAAAGCAAGTTACTCTCTCCACAGTAATGTCTCCTCTGCTGCAAACCACCATCCTTGCAGCAGAAATATCACTCAACCCCTCTTCACACGAAAGGACAAAGTTACTCTTCAGACACACTTTCCCACAGGGACATAGAAATACACAAGGTCAGTCTGATGCTATTCATTGAAACAATTGGAACTACTCCAATTTAAAATGTCTTGGATCCAATCTGTGATGTTTATATAAAGTCTATATCTGATCGACAGCTTTATAAGTCTAAAATAATAGTTAAGAATTTGCTAGCTAAACAATTTTTTAAGATATTCAAAATTCACCTGTTTTATTCTCCCTCCTTACAGCTGTGTATACTTAGACCCAGTTCTGTTCTAATCAACCTTCATAAAATTAGGCTATAACCAGAAAATGTTCTGCCTTTTCCTGATGAATTCAGCCAAGCTGTTCTCATGGGAGACACCGTCCATCTAAGACTCAATTTTTAGAACATTCTCCTTCTTAGGTCCTACACTGCCCAAGTGCTCTGAAAAGTTCTTCCTTCTGCAGCTGTTAATTTAGGGTTCCAGAACAGGCTGTGCTTTTCTATTATTTTGTTTGGGTTTATATTTGAGCCTTGCATGGGCACTTGAAAAGAGAAATACAAAAGGAAGCATTTGTCACCGCCACTTACATCACTTATTATTTCACTGCATTTTCGGGCCAGTTCCATATTTCTGTCCTCAATAACAGGCTTGAAGAAGACCTGTAAGAGAAAGGCAATCAATGTAGGTTTATTGTCCTAAAAGGGTAACAATAGAAGGAAATAATTACTTTTCAAAGTTACTGGCATTTAACTCACCTTTTCTTCTTCTCCATCCTCATTTTCGTCTTCCCCGAGATCCTGAATAACAGATACTCGCATTTTAATACTTTGCAGAAAACAACAATGAATACTCTAAAAAGGTTCAGTACTGCAGGAAACAGCACAGACCCTGCAGCATGTCTGGAATCAGTGCTTCATTTCTGTCCTCCACTGCACTTAACCCTACCAAGGCTCCTTCCTTATTTAGGCAGCACTTGACAGTCTTTATCTGAACAATTCAGTGTGAGTGAACTGAAAGGCGTTGCAGATGGCCTTGCTAGCTATCAGTTGCAGCAGAGCTAATGCTTTCCTACAGATAAAATATAATTAAATGACCTATCCCAGTCAACTATTTTTAAAATTACTATGAACACACTTAATTAAAATACTGTGATGCAGTTAATTCATAATGTAAGTAATTTAGCAAAATTAATAGGCCTAAAAGGGAAATATTGACTCCAAGGTTATGGGAAAACTGCCCAGTTCTAAGATTCAAGGCATCACCAACTCCAAAACAGTTATCATGACACTTTATTTTATTCAGCTGATAATAGAGTTTTTAATTAAAAATGCAGATGTTTTATTTATAGTCTCATTTTCCAGTAGATGTAACTGCTAGTATATTTTTGAGGAAATATTCCTTTTCCTCAAGGCATAAAAATTCCTTAAATGCTTTGCATATTATGTCAGCTGACAGTTAAACCTGTACATACCTAGATACAAACACATCTGTTAACTTACAATTATAAATGGCTATGTATTCACACAAATTTGAATCTACCTGCACTCTTAAAAACTGTCATGGTCTGTAGTCTCAAAACCAACCTTTTTCAGTATGAAGTCATCAGCTTCAGCTGTAGTGAAAGTGAGAGATATCCTTATGTCTATGGATACAGTCTCACAGTGTTTGCTTCTGTAAAAGAAGCAAGGAGGTATTACAGGACTGGTTGGAGTAACCAGCTTTTTAACATGATTTTTCTTTCCAAACTAGAGCTTGTATACTTCTCATTTCATAGAGGTCATGACTTTGAACTTCATCTAGCAAAGTGATACAACACTGCACAGCTTTGCAATCAGGCAAGCTGCCAGGCAAGATACAAGGAATGTGTGCTCTTACAGACCTCTTCAGGGAATTTTATAGAATCATAGAATGGTTAGGGTTGGAAGGGACCTTAAAGATCATCTAGTTCCAACCCCCCTGCCATGGGCAGGGACACCTTGCATTAGACCAGGTTGCTCAAAGCCACATCCAGCCTGGCCTTGAAGACATCCAGGGATGGGGCATCCACAACATCTCTGGGCAACCTGTTCCAGTGCCTCACCACCCTCTCTGTGAAGAATTTCTTCCTGATATCTAATCTAAACCTCCCTGATTTCAATTTGTACCCATTACCCCTTGTCCTATCACTACAGGCCCTTGTAAAAAGTCCTCTCCCAGCACCCTTGTAGGCCCCCTTCAGATACTGGAATTTTAAGCACTTGCACCCAAACACAATGTCCTTAGAGCTTATTTTAAAACACACATTTCCTTAGAAAAAGAAAGAAGAGGAAAACCACAGCATTTGACTTAGTCAAGGTCTGAACATTTGAAAAAAAATAATAAGAACAAAGGCAAAAACTGCTTTCAGTTGATACTAATCAAGAGACAGAATTCTTTATATGTTAATACTACAGGAAGCTTCAAGATTTTCCATTCTGCTATTTCAAATACAAGCTCCTAAATTTCAGATTTCGCTTGGCATAGCTGAAGTTCAAGTTTAAACCTAAAAGTCTGATTTGTATAGGTGAGAATTACCTGTAATTTAGGCTGACTACTTTTGGAGCTCAGGATAATGGTTTAGTCTTATAAGATGGCTATGCACAGTAACAGGTGATTTTTTAAGATTATGGCCACAGCAAATATAGTCCTCAACAACAGACTAATGCACGATTTCAAGGACCACACGTTAAGGAGACAGAATGCCTACAAAAATGCCAGACAGAGACACAGCACCAAGGCTTCATTTTGGGATTTTTGTCATAATATTACAAACACTGTGTTGTTCCAGTGCAGTTAATTTCCCTTTCCTTCCTACATTTAATAACTTTTTTAAGTGGAGACATTGAAAAATATTTAAGAGAGCAGACAAAAACTATTAGTAGCTGAAAAGCTTGCTGAATATGGGAAAATCTTTTGCTATTTTTTGCACCGGAAAGCAAATATGGTCAAAATGACAAAGTCAAAACTGTTTGGGTTTGGAGGGGGAAAGGGGGCCGTTCATCTTTTTAACTTGCTTACATTGTATCTGGTGTTTGTTCAGCAGCTAGACATGCCAAAAATTATATATTAATTGTGGTTTTCCTGTAATGGTTTCTGCACAAGAAAGATCTGCTTTTGCTTTAGCATAATCTTCAACTGATTTTGTAGAATTCATTTTTTCCCATTTTTACATCATCTGGGTAAGGCATAACTGAGCATCCAAATATGCTATGTCCCATGTAACTTCCATCATACAGGTATTGCAAGGCAGCTGCTATAATTCATAATATTAAAAAAAATAATACTGTGCACAAAAAGAGCAAGGGAAAAAAATATCACAGTCTCCACTAACCATACACGAGTTATTCAAAATGGCAATCTGCACGTAACAGATGCAGTAAGAGACTATGTGACACAGAAACCTGCCTTCATTTTTTTCATCTGCCTCAAAACATTGTCAGAAAACATTCGCTGTGTAACAAAGCAAGCCTGAAAATTAAATATATAGAAATAATTCAGAGAAGAACTTGTGATCATTTAAGAGTTGCATGGTTTAAAAGCACATTATGATTCTATTAGCAGCCTGCAGGTCAAGAACAAGCTTAGGTTACTTCTCTGAGGCAGCAAATAAACTAGGATCAGCAGGCATGTTTGGCATACCAAATGTTTATGTATGTTTACAGGTATTTTAAAACTACTCTAAAAATTATAAATCTAATCTGAATAAAGACCTAGTTAAAATGCTGAGCTATACATCCCCTAAACAATAATGATGATGTATTAAACATGACTTTTCACATGCAAAACCTGCATTTTTACCAAAACCTCCAAACTTGACACTTCTGAACCATTTTCCACTGTATATAATGGAATAATCTATAGTCATTTGTTCTGGCATGAAACAGCATAAATCAAACAAGATAGAATTGTACAGAATCTTAGGAAAACACTGTAATGGACTCTTCAGCTGTGTATACCAAATAATATAAAACAGGGGAAAAAAAAAGAAATCCATTCCATTATCTATTTCCTTACAGATAGCTTAAAATGTACACAATAGGGAGAGACATGTGTTCTTCGGGGAAGTACCCAATATGAACTCATTCATATTTTGTAGGGGAGGGCTGCATAGTTCCACATTGCCACTTCCAGCCACCCTGCATGGATGTTTCACAGCTCAGTTCAAATTTAGCATTAAGAACAAGGCAATTTTGTCAAAGAAGCTGCAGTAGAATCAAAATAACTGTACATTATCTAGATTGTTCTAGGAAGCACAGTATTTGCAGTACACAATCTTCGGAGTGTATGAACTTTTGATAGGAAAGACAAGTATTCTAGAAGGAAACTATGGTTCATGTTATGAAAGGAGAGAGCTGAAAGTCCCAAGACTTTCAGCCATCAGTCAATTGTGTCAATATGCTGGTTTTTGACACAGAACATTACTCAAGTACTTGGTCTAAATGCATATCTGCTGAGGAGGCAGAAGAGGAAGAAACATGGGGTATAAAGGAGCCCAATTCCCCATGAGTACGATCTGGCCCTGCATGCAAATGGTTCAGGCACACAGTTGTCCATCTTGCCTGCTTTGATCGTGCACAGCTGTGTCCACATCTGGCCAAAGCTCCACCATCTCCCTTGTCCCTTTATCAATCTTCTAAGAAACATTTGGGAGATGTTAGCCCATCAAGTTTAAAGGCTTCATCTCATTTTGGCCCTGATACACATAAAATGCTAACAGTTGCGCTCAGTCGTCACTGAACAAACAATCCCATTGGACTTTATCGGCACAATCCCAAAAGTCTTCTTGGATCTGCAATATCCACACGTACCATGGAGCTGAAAGAACTTCTTTACCACTTCACAGAACTGCAGAAAGTGGGTTTGTCCTAGGAAAGGTACCAGAAACATCACAATCTCAAACCTATTTAGCCATGTTCCTCATGGGATACTTGAGCATAGGCTGCAAGTTAAGGACCAAGGTATTTCAACCAGAAAATCTGCACAGCACTATAGTGAGAGGTAGATACATGCTATGAATACACCCTTTTCAATACTGGACTGAAAACCTAGTAAGAACAAAGGTTGAGTTTTAGTGCTTTAAATACCCTGCTTCCAATGAGTTAAAAATCAACCCACAGATATCCCTCTAATGAAAACGGTATTTTCTTTTCTCACTGAACAGACACACATATCACTGAAATAAGTACAATGAATTCAACACAACACAGCTGGTGGTCTGTTTTCAAAAAGCGCACCAGGCATTTTTAAGCACTGAGGTTCAATTACTTCTCATTTCTAGAAATACTCATCTATCAGACTGGAAGTTACTAACAGCCCTGCACACAGAAGTTCGTAGTTAGGCTATCAGCACCACAAACAAAAACAGAGAAAAGGTAAGGGATCCCAGCCTGCCAATTTTAACCTCCCTGAACATGAATTACCAATTAACATTACCAAAAGAAATTCAAGAGATGATTCTATTTAGAAAAAAATCTTACCAAAAGCTTGTATCCATCAGATCATTACCACTGCATTTATCAACATCTCAAAACCTTGCAAATATCTCATGGTTCTAAGCTAAAATTTTCATTCAATGAAACTGATTTAAGGTTTTTGTACAGCAGAGCGGGGCAACGGTATTTTTAAAGATGAATACAAATGAGATGCTAGAATACTGACTTGTGAATCCCAGAAAACCTAATGAATTTTCAGTACCTAATGAAATCATGAATACAGACATTTTTGCAAGCACACACTCATGGAGACATCTAGCCCAACTGGATCTTGATGACAGAGCATTGAGGATATCTGGATGGTACCA